ATATATATATATATATATATATATATATATATATCAATTTTTAATGTGTTACTGCTAATCTTGAAATTCCTAGTCAGACTAATAGAACAAACTTATAAGATTATTGTATTTTCATCGGTCCTTTATAAATGTGTAAAATTTGACTTTAATCCAACGTTTTAAAGTGGCCGAAAATCGATTTGAAAGATTCCATTACATATAGAGCGTTCCATGGGAAATCGGACAGTTTAAAAAATTTTTTTTTTATTTTTGTAATTTTTGAATATTTTTTAGTATCCATTAAAAAACTCCTTTATGCAACTTTTGAGATTTTTTTTATCACCGATTCAAATGATATCGAATTTTCGAAAAAAAACTTTTTTTTGGTTTTTCGCTCATCAATTCTACAAAAATTGTCTAAATTCAAAAAATTATTTTTTTCAAAATTTTTGTCTTTTCATGTACTTCCAAAAAAGAAATTGATAGAATTTTTTCGAAAAATTTTTCTGTGTTAATTTCTTAGTTTCAAAATTTCAAAGGCTAGTTTTTTTTTCGATTTTTCAAAATTTGAAAAATTAGGTTTGTCCTATTAATCTTGATAACTACCAACTTTTGTACTTCTTTTAGGTATTTAGAATAAAAGTAATTCTACTGTTTACATTATTTGGAAATGTATAATGCGTACGCATGAGGTTGAATATATATTAACATTAATCGTAAGTTATCTACTTAGGATCAACGCAGAATATTAAAACCTGAATTTTTTAAACAAAAAAATCTATAGACCACTATTTTTAATACCATATTATTTTATTAAATTTAACTTCAAATTAAGATTCAAATTTATTCGATGTGTTGATTTTAAATAAAGGAAGACCCATCTTTAGCGTTTGAAAAGTTCTTCATGATCTTAAATACTTGAATTTAAAACAAATAATATTTTTCTTTTCATGAATAATTTATTGATATTTACAATTTTTTACATTCTTATGTTCATTGAAACAGTGTTTTTCTTTTATTTTCAATACTCATGTACTGAGAGAGAAAATAACTTTTAGAAAATCATTATTTTTTTTATATAAAAATCAAAAGTTAACAATCGAAATTTTTTTTTTCTTAGTGTACTGAGAAAATTCGTTAGTATTTACCAACGAGTTGTCAAAACTAAAAAAATATGCTTTATAGTGTAATTATTAAAATAAAATAAATATTCGAAACGAATAAATAAATTGTGATATTTTATATAAATGCTGATTAACGATTTCATATAAGCTTCATCTGGTGTTGAAAAATTTTCATCCTAATAGCTTTTAGACATATATTATACATAAAGTTATGATAATAAATAAATTTCTGCGAATGCGTTGTATCAACAGCCGTCTTCTGAATGATTTGTTGATGATAATTATTAAAAGTTAGCAAATTTTTGTATTATAAAAAAATATTTTTTTTTTTTAAATTAATTCAGATGGAAAACATTTTTAGATTTTTATTATAAGTCTGACTGAAGGTATGATTTTTTGGTACTGCTCAGAAATTTGCTTCCAACAAAGGTATTTAAGAAGATTTCAGAAAACTATTAACATTACTTAGTTTTATATTTTATACAATCCAATGGTTAATCACTTGTATGATCTAATCGTTCATTTTTTGTACTACATACTAGTTCATCCTTTGCATGAATAAGACGATGCCTGTCAAGCCAACCCTTCGCAGAAAAGTGTTTCTTGCAAATATCACATTTGTATTCTTTATTTTTATGTGACTTTTTAATGTGCTTTGTCAAAGATTGAATTGTGAAAAATTTAGCTAAACAAGCATCGCACTTGAATTGTTTGTTGCCCGTATGAATAAGTTTGTGTCGTTTTAAACTAAAATGATGAGAAAAGATTCTTTCACAAATGTCGCACTTGAAAATTTTTTTATCACTATGACTGTAAAGGTGTGTCTTTAACTGAGATTTATGAATGAACTTTGAATGGCAAACATTGCATTCAAATAATTCTTTCCTCGTATGAAGAACCAGGTGCTTATCGAGATTATACTGACTACAAAACTGGCTTGGACAAATATCACAGTGAAAAGATTTTTCTCTTGTATGAGTAAGTTTGTGTTTGTCTAAAATGAACTTATGGGAGAAGAAAGCTTGACAAATATCGCACTCAAATGACTTTTCTCTCGTGTGAGTGAGTCTGTGTTTATTCAGTTTTGATTTTTGACGAAAAATTGCTTCACAAACATCACACTTATATTGTTTATCACGAGTATGATTTTCAAGATGCGTTGTTAACATTGACTCTTGAGTGAATTTTAAGTGACAAATGTTACACTTGAATACGTTTTCGTTTGTGTGAGTATACATGTGCTGTTTGAGATTGAAATTTCGAGAAAAGCTTCGTTGACAAATAGTACATTCAAATCGTTCTGTTTTATGACATCTCATATGAATCGATAAATTTTGTTTAGTTAAAAACTCAGCCTGGCAATTGTCACATTTGAAAGATTCTTCGTTTTTGTGAGTATCACTCATATGTTGAGCTAACGAAGTTTCTTCAGTGTACTTTGAATGACAAATATCACATTTGTATATTTTCCCCCGTATGTGGATAAGCATATGATGTTCTAAAGATGACGTTCGAGAAAAATTTCGTAGACAAATTTTACAATTTACATGTACACCTTTCAAGTGATGATGTATAATGTGAGATTCCAAATGTGACTTCCTCGAATAATTGGAATTACAAATATCGCATGTAAATGGTCTATCGGCAGGTAAATTCCAAAAACAAGAACGCATATGTCGAATTAAACTGCTCTTCCTGGTATAAGTTAAGTGGCAGTTATCACACTCAACTCTTATTTTCAGATCGTGTAAATCCATATGTCGAATCAGAGTTAACTTTCGACGAAAGATTTTCTTACAAATATCACACTTGAATATTTCATTGTTTAAATGGGTCTTAAGATGTTTTCCTAAGCTTGATTGTCGAGTACATATTAGATTACAAACTTCACACTGAAAGTTTTGTTTTTTCTTTATTACATGAACAATTTTGTGTCGCTCTAAAGTATGTTTCGTAGCATATACTTTATGACAAACTTTACAAGTGTGGCTCTTTTGTAAACATTGACGATTTTTGATAGATTTCTTTAACAGTGATTTTTTCATTGATTTCAAGCAACGAGTATTGTTTTTCTGTGATATCTTACCCGTTTTATGATTTTTTTTTTTAAATTGTGAGCTTTGACTCAATTTTGAGCCCCGAACATCACGTAGTACCGGTCTTGTAATGTGATGGTTATTTGTGATATGTTTTTTTAATAATGAATTCGAGTTTGTTTGAAAGTAACAAATTTTACAGGGAAATTTTAGTTTTTTCACATGTACAGCCTTGTGCCGTTGTAAAGATTGCTTCAAGACGTATTTTTTCGGACACATATCACACTCAAACTTTTTGTTACTTATTTTAGTACGCTTATACTGTTTTAGGAGTCCTGTAACAATAATTTTCATTTGAAAACAATGTTTCTGCATTTAATAAAAAATTTATGACTACTTACCTTCTAATATACATGATTCTTTATTATAATTTTCCAATAAGACTTTATTCAATTCTTGTTGATCAGGCTTAACATCTGTAGCTAAAGGATCAACATCGTTTTCTTGTTTTACAATTACATCTAAGGGATTAAAACTATTTTCTAGTGTAATATTTGTATCGGCTATAAATGTAAATGGGAGTTCTTGACGGTTAGTGTTAGTCGTATCTGCGATTTCAGTACTTGAGTTTTCATTAATTGTAAGTTCACTGATTGAAAATTTTGTTTCATTTTCATCACAGATTGTTTGTACGTGACCATTTTCTATGTTGTCAATATTTTCATTCCAACAGTTTTCTGTTCCGCTCAATGATTGGACGCTTGTAATTTTTATATCAGTGGATTTGTTCAAAAAACTGTAGCAATTATAATTCGTATTTACGGAGCTTTGATTATTAACAATGAGTTGCCTTCTCATTTCATTATTGTTACTCACTAGTATTATTTTTTTCATATTAAATGTCGGTAGGTTACTGTTTTTCATCTTAAATAAAATGCTGGATGTTATTTGATTGATAATTAAATCTTCATAATTTCAGTTTTTCGATCTCCAATCTGAAAAAAACAAAAAATTGAAAAAGTATTCTTTAGTCCTATAATCTTTGTCCAAAATTGTTACTATTTTTATGTTTTTACTCTATAAGCTCGAAAACGTTGAAATGTCACTCAAGTCAAAAGATTTGAAAGTCTGAATAAATAAATAAGATTCGCCATTATGATCGCAATATGTCAAAAAATACGACTTCGTAGAACCATTCGCAATGTAAAACGGCAATAAGCGGCCATTTTTTTGCCGGTTAACTAGACTATTGCAAAAAAAAGCTATTCAATTAATTTTTGCATCGAATGGTTATATTATAAAAACTTTAAAGACATTAGCCAGACCTTTTCTTGATTATGGCATTAAAATTTTATTTTTGTATCATGATTTTTAAATACAGAAGCTTTTTAGTAACTTCAGGCTAAATTTGTGATATGAAATTTTTAGTACATCAATAGTGGTCGAAAGATATCTTCACAAATGATAAGAAACAATGTAGAAATCGTAACCTACGTAACTTACAGGAAACTAAAGGATAACACACCTATATGCAATTGTGCTTTTTTTTTTTTTAACAAGTTACAAATGATTTCATAGTGTTACCAAAAATATTTCATATCATTAACTTTAATATATCCACACCTGAACTCAAAATCATTCGTCTTATCACTATAGCTAGCCTAAAATAAATATCAAGTATAGATCTTCAACAAATTAATGGATATATAAAATAAATTAAAGAAAATTTTACAAGAAAAAAAATCTGCTTATTTCTCAAAGTGTGATCTTCAATGATTATAAAATGAATCTAAGTTGAAATAAAAAATAAACTTTTTTGAATTTTAAAAAATGATATTTTTTTGCTCAATTGAGTTTTTTATAAAAGTGACAATTTTTATAGAATTGGTCATCTAGAATATATTCTCATTTTTTCTTCTAAGTTAATTTAAAACGAAAATTAAAAAAAAAAAACATGAAAATCGTTCAAATAAGTCAATTGAAAAAAAAAAACAAACTATTTTTAGAAAAGTGCGCTTCAAAAATAAAGTTTAAAAAAAATCTTTCTCGAAAATAACTTAAAACTGCAGAAACGACTAATTTCTCAATTTACTCAGCTTTTTATTTCATGTAACTGTGTCGAATGCCGTACAGCACATCAACATTGGCTAATTCATTCAAGATATTGCGTTTTGAACATTAGTATTAATTAATCTATTCCAATAATTGATAGATTTTTTAGCTCAAAAAACTCAAAACCGTACAAAAAAATTCTGTTTACGAGCTCTTAGGGCTTAATTTATTGCAAATAGTAAGAAGTTTTAGAGATGGTCTGCCGGGTCAGTTACTTTCCAAATGTTTTTAATTGCAACAATATTCAGTCTTTTTTATTTCTTGTCATTTTTTACAAACAGAAAAAAAGCAATACACATTTGTATGTAAAAAAATCCTAGGCTTTATAATGAAGAAATATATTTCTTATGACAATTAACGGAAAAATCTCAAAATATGTTTAAAATAACGTCATTTTACTTTTTGCTGTTGTACGAACGAATTCGGACATATTTTTCTAAATCCAGGCAATTTTTTACATCAAATCCATTTTATATATTTTATTTATTTATGATATGTAAATTTTTTGTTAAAAGTTATTTGCATGATATTATGTTTTTCAAATTAGTAAATGTTAACTGCAGGTAACTGTATACAATTCTAAGTAGCTTTTTTATTGGGTTGCATCCGGCATATCCTATCAAGTCAATAAACTGCTCGATAGAAACATTATTTTCAGAAAATTAATCGGATATAATTTCAAACGATATTTCTGTAACATCGAATTTTGAATATATATTTTCATCAATATCACAAATACCTGAGTTATAGCTATATTGTCAAGTTTTTCTTAAAAACTGCTTACAAATGTGTAAGATTGTTGTAATATGTATGACATTAAAGTTAGCAGTCGTTTGACAATTTTTTAATTTTTTTTAATAAATAAATTTGCTCTAAAAAATTATTTTTAAAAAATTGCATTTTCTATTTATTAAAATTTCTAAATATCCATTTTTATCTCATTTTTTTAATGCAGCAATTTATTTATTAGAAAAATTATTAAATTACTGAAATTAAAAATTGTAACGAGAATTATATGTTGTCAATATAACTTTAAAAATAACACTTACTTTCGTATCTTTGATATAAATAAAAAGTATTATTTATTAATAAATTAACAAAACATTCAAAGAAAGCCATAGTAATTAACTACATAAAAACTCAAATTTTCCTACTGGTAGATAAAAAATAATTGTAAACATTGTAATTGATTATTTAGAGTACTATAATTTGATTTCAACAACAAACAATGGGTATGTTCTGATACATACCTAACAGTCAATAATTTTCATTATGTGGTTGTGTTAATGATTTAGGTTAGATTTAAGTTGGTCATGTATATCTACTGATTGGAGTATCCTCTTTTTTTCCTTTGTACAATCGCATTCATTAATTCGAATCGGTTTCTATGCTTAGGGATTTATTGCCAACCCTAAATTTGGAAGATTCTAAACTCTAAAATTTGAAAATCATAAATTTTTCCATTCATGAAACAAGCTAAATGTAAAAAATAATATTTTTCATATGTTAGGAACGTAAATAATCCTCTGAATAAAAATACATGAAAGTCTTGAAGTTAGTCATAGGTCGATACTTGCGAAAACCGGGCTACGATTCATTATTGGTTAAAATTTAGGCGCGCGCGTAGCGCGCTATTCAAATTTCTAGTATTCATGATGAAACTCAGTTATTTCATCATTTTATTCTCGATTTTCAAGAGCATTTTTTCATTTTGCTTAAATAAACTTATAGGGCCAGTTTTTCAATCCAGAATAAAATTTTATCCAATGATAAAATATATCTATATATTTCATATATATAAATATACTGACAATAATAATTTCATCCTGGATAAAATTTTATCTCGGATTGAAAAACTGGCCCATAGAATATTCGTTGAGTTTTTACTATTGAAAAAACGGCTAAAATTAACAAAAAAAAATGCTCTTTATTCGACCATATTCTATTAGAGTATTGTTTTATGTTTTTTATTTTCCAACTTTATCATATAATCATAGTAATAATAATTAATTTCTTATCCAAAAAAATTTATGTTTTCATATATAACCATGGAAACACTAAATAAATATAAAAACTCATGGGTTTGAGTTAATTGAAAAAAAAAAAAAAAAAAAAATGAAAAGGGCATATAAATGAAAATAAACTTTTTTTATTTCAACAATTAAAAATTGAAAAAAAAAATGTTTTTTTAAAATTTATATTGTTTTTTTAAACGTGTTACTTATAGTATTTTACTTATTTATAATTAAAAATGCATAAATCAATTAATTATATTAAGTAGAATATTTTTTGATAATATTATTTCCTTAACTATCAAAGTTTTCAATTGTTGGATGTCAGCTAAATTCACACTCATGAGCCTTCAACTGTCCAGAATTTTTTTTTTTTTCGTATATGTTGTTGTATAGCCCAAAATTGGCTATAGTAAATTTATTGAGTTCTTTTAATTCGCCCGTTGGAACGCGGTAGGGCGTTCAACTCGCAGTAAATAGATTAAGGCGGGAGAGTAGATTTAAATTCGAATAAGTTGAATTAAATAACATATATAATAAATTTAAAATACTCGGATTATTTTAGTTTAATTTAGATTTGCCTTGCGCGCAAATCTATTATTTATTATTCAGTAAATTACAAAATAAAAGTACCGACAATAATTCCGAAAAAGAAAATATTCGCGTGGCGTACTTAAGTCTTGCTTATTGATAAGTGTCTACTTGTTTTTCGTTGTCCGACTCCCCTGGTTGAGATGTCCATACCTTTGGAGTGGGAGAGGCCCAGAGGGTAGTGAGGGTAGCTGCGCGCGCCTCTACAGCTCTCATCTTCGGCTAGCATCCCTTCTCGAGTTAGTAAAATGGGGGAAGAGGTCGATTACCTACAGACCAATGAGTTAGATTACCGGTGACTTAGATTCCGATTACCTAGATT